CGGCCCGCCCTGCGCGTCCCCGCGGCGCCGCCCCCCGCGCGCGTCCACCGGCCGCCGCGCGCACCGCCCCTGGAGCCCCGGGTCCCCGGGCGACGGCGGAGGAGGGGGCGCCGCAAGATGGCGGGTACGGGCCCCGCGGCGGGCGGCGGGCGGCAGGCGGGGGCGCGGGGCGGCGGGAGGCGGGCGGCGGGCCCACGGCCTTTCTTGTCTCCCTCGGCGCAGACCTGACGCTGCTGCAGGAGGACCTGCCGGAGGACGCGGACGGATGTGAGTGAGCGGCCGGGCCCGGGCCGGGCGGGAGAAAGGGCGGCGGGCGCCCAAGGCCTCGGCGCGGGCTCGGGGGCGGCCGGCGGCCGTTCGGGCGGAGCCCCGGCGGCGGAAGCGGGAGCGCGGCCGTTGGTTCCCGGCGCCTCGGCGGGGACGGGGGCCGCGGGCGGGTCGGGGCGCCGCCCGCCGCACGGAGCCTTCCCGAGGCCGCCCCAGCGCCGCGTCGTCCCGGGGTCCGGGATCCGGGGTCCGTGGCCGCGGAGGCAGAAGGGGCGGCCTGGGCGGGATGGTCCGGCTTCACCGACTGTCTTTCTTCGGCGCAAATGTTGGCGACTCAGCCGGGCCTTCCTGCATCTTCTCATCTCGGCTTTCCCGGCGACAGTGAAGTTTTCAGGGCTTGGTCTTTTGATTCAAGGAAAGCAGAAAGTTTGACATTGTTCCTGGAGGAGTGTCAGAAAGGAAGTGTCTCTCTCGTATGTGCTCTTCCGAGGTCGGAAGATAATTTGGAAATTGCCTTCGAGTTGAAGTGGTGACCCGGGAGGGACGTGTGTGGGGCTTAGGGGAGAGCCCGCCCGGTGCTGAGACTCACTGACCCTAATATCATCCAAGTCGGGAATTCCGAGGTAGCTGCGCTTTGAAATTGCTCTTGTAAATGCCGTGGAGTTAATCCTTAGCATGTCTAATGTGGTTTCTCGTGCCCACATTAAGCTTAATTTTTAAATTACTGGGTGTTTTGAGTGAAGTGAGGGGAATTTACTCTTTAGGAGTCTCTAAAAAGAAGTATTTCGAAAATGAATTAACCATATGTAAACTTATCTTTTGCGAAGTCTGGGTTTATGTGTTTTCAGTAAAACTCTCTCTTAAGGCAGCAGTGCACATGTAGTGAAGGACAGCACTTACATTTCCTTAACGTTGTACCGTAGGACTCTGGGCTGCCTACGAGTAAGTTTGAAATGTTAGTTAAGGCAGCGCTTGATTTTCTGCAGTTAGAATGGGAGAGGTTTGGAGAGGTGACTGTCTCCAGACGGGGGCTTCTCAGGCTTGTATTTAGGTTCAAGGCTTTGCAGATAGAAGACGCTTTCCTTCAGCAGGTGTCGCGGACCGTCGTTCATTTATTGTCACTTAGGTACCATTGCACACTTAAAGCTTAAAGGATGAGCTGTACTTTGGCCCTTCACCCTTAAGGGGCACAGTCTAGAAGGGGCAGCCTACCTGTGCAGAGCTCAACAGTGATTTCTCAGGACCCTCCAGACTTCTGCTTGGTACTGAGGATAGAGCAGTGTGAAGGATGGTCACAATCCGTGCCCTCTAGTGGTTTATAAGCAGTTTTAATGTAAGTGTGACAATGAAGGTGTCAGAAGCATCCTAGCACAGTTGTTAATAGACAAGACTCAGGAGCTGAACTGCTTTGTTCCGTTCTTGGCGTTGTCACTTTGGATGGATTCCTGCAGCTCAATTGAACTTTTCTGTGTCTAAGTGTTGTCATTTGTAAACAGCTGTAATTAATATTACCTGCCTTATAGAGTTGTTTAGAGCCTTACATAAGTTAATGCATGTAAAGCACTTAGAATAGTAGCAGGGAAATAGTGACTATTATGTGTTGTTATTATGAGTAAAAAGTGAGGGAAGCTGGAAGGAAAGTTCAGGGAAGGAAATACTGATGTTGACCATTACACCACAGAATTTACATATTTACAGTTGCTGCTAATGCTTGCAGTTAACTTTTTTTAAGGTCCAGTTCATTCCCAGTGTGGGTTTTTTTTTTATTGAAGTATAGTTGATTTACAGTATTGTCCAGTGTGTTTTAATTTAGGATAAAATGTTCGACCTTTGAAGGCACAGTTTATTTGCATATTTATAATTTGGTTGAAGTCATTGTTAGAATAATTGCTTATTTTCTTAGTTGCTATAGTTTCTACAGGTGATAACCTTTACCCAGAATATTCAGGAACAAGGGATCTTGGAACATATGGCCAGCTGAAGGACCACTCGGCATCTGTTTTGAAGGGAGAAAGGGTGAGAGGGGAACCTGGTGGTGGGACCTTGGTCCAGGGCGAGATGGACGGGCAGGGAATGGAGAGGCTCTGCACATCCTGGAGAAGGGAGAGGACCAGAGACGTTAGAGAGGGGCTTGGGCTGCCCGCACAACTGGGCTGTGTCTCCTGAGCCCGGTCTTCTGTCTTGGGCAGCGCTGGTGGAGGCCGCCTCCAGACCTGCCCCTTCAGCCAGGCCAGGGCTGAGTCAGCCTTTGAGAGGGGAAGACATTGTTCTTTGCTCCAGCTCTATAGTCTTGGTCACCTTTCCTAAATGCAGAACCTAGACTAAGAAGGAAGAGAGAGTAAATACTATTCTACAAGTGATGAGAAGCTGGGGTGCCGGGGGGAGGCCCTGGGTGGGGTCCAGATCTTGAAAGGGGGGCATTGCCAGACCCTGAGATGAGGCTCTCAGGTCGTTCATTTGATCTGTTTCGTTTTAAGCCCCCAAGTCTCTGTGTAGAATCAGTAGAAAAGTGGGTAGAACTGGAAAAGGGTTGGTCAGAGATGGACTTGACTGGTAACCCTTGGAGAAAAAGAAACAAAATCCTAATGTGTGAAAAATGACGCCTTGTATGTACATCTCAAAAGGTCATAAAGTTAAGTAAATATCATCGTCTTAAGGTACTATTAAAATTAAGTTTAGAAAAAAAATTAAGTTTAGGAGAATAATGCATTGAAAAACTAAGTTTGTTTTTGGTTAAAAGGGATACTTCCAATACTGTCCAATGAAACACACTTTGAATTTCAGAGTGAAAGCAGAGCAACTTCCGAGTTGGGTGAACCCTTCCTGTGCCTGGAATGATGGGAGTCAGTGTAGAATTCTGGATAGACTTTCAGAGAAAGAGTTTTAAATTTCTACTGTCGGTTCTTCACAGATGCAATTTTGATGTACATTGAAGTTGCTAGATTTCTAGGATAGGTGAGATGGGACTTAAGATACAGTAGGATTTGGTGAGTTAACGTTTGTAAAAATAATTTCACAGGAGTTAGATTAAAATTTAAATTTCTGTCAGTAATATGTTGAAGAAGATTATTTTAAAAGAAAGATGATGTAACGCTTAGTGATTTGCAGTAGCTTTTGTATGCGGGTGGTTCTTCCCAGTAGCCGTGGGACATGTAGGCTCTGGTGTACCGATACTAATAAATAAGTCAGCTGATATGCAGAGGGACTAAATCATTCTCTCAGGGGACAAAATTCCTAAGCACCAACCAGAATTTTAAGCCAGGCCTCCTGATTCTAAATATTGTATTTTAAACACTGTTTTTTCTTAGATTGCCCAATTTACACCATCGAGCTGCCCCAGCTTGCGTGGGCGATTTGTTTGAACCTGTGCTTAGAATAAATACCCTTGAAGATGAATCTAGCATGCTGCCTGAGGTTTAATTTAACCTAGAGGGAGGGGATTCAAATGAGGCTCAGGTGTAAGTCTTTATGTTAACCTCTCTCAGCTGTGACTAGCATGCTGTGGAAGGGCTTTTGGAGCTGTGTTCTGGAATATGACACAGCACAGAATTTTTCCTGTTAAAGTTTTGGAGTCCTTCTACATGATACTGTTTTTCAGGTTTGAAACAGTGAATTAACGATGGATCCAGAACTAATTGGGTGTAACTACCTAGACTAAACTCCATCCAGAGCCTCTGGGCCCTCGACTGTTTCTGAAAACTGGGTTTGATAAGCTTCTTAGAGTCTCGCCACCTGGGGAAGCGAGGCGTGAAAGGTTGGGGCTGTGTCCTGTGGTGGCCAGGGAGTCGGTCGAAAACCTGAAGAAGGTGCCCTTGAAAATCATAATATTTAGAAGTGTTGTTAAATAGGGATTTGGGAGAGCAAGTCATGAGACTTGTAGCATGTTTTTGCTACCAGCAAGACTGGACAGGAGAAGTCTTTGTTGAGAGATAATATGGTTGGTGTCTTAGAAAAGGTGCTTAAAAATGGTTTTAGTGGTACCCACATGCATATAGAATCAGTTAATGATGCCTTGGGTCATAATTCCCCATACAGAATTTCTAAAAAAAAGAAAAAAATGGGAGAGTACTCTTTGTTCTCTGTAACCGTGCGTGTCAGCCGCTTGGGCTTGTAGCTGCAGGACCGGGGCGTGGGGGACCCAACACCTAAATGCATAGGTTTTTATTCTTCTACCTGTGAGAGAGAACACGCCCTTGCTGGGTGGAGTGCTTAGTCTGCCACGTGTTGATCACTGGTTTATATATTTCTGGTCCTTTGGCCTCATTTCCTCCTCTCATCAAAACAAATATTTTATATTTGTTTATTAAACTACTGTTACTTCACCCCTGTGTTTGCCTTATGTTTTGGAATTTTTCATTTTTCTGTCTTGATGACAAAGAATTTTTGCCATCAGCTACATGAGAGGGTGGGCAGTTTCTGCACTTGAATTGGGGTGTTGTTTTGCTTTTAACTTGGATCTGAAAGTAAACGATTTAATGTTTTGGGAAGAAGAGCGGGTGACACACCTCTGCAACTTTGGTGAAGGTGGTGAAGAGGCCAGTGCTCCCTAGAACTTGTAGGAGGGGACTTTTGCACAGTCTCCCAGCTTGCAGGTCCCCCTAGGGCCACCTCCCCACGCCCGTCCCCAACTCTCTCCTTACAAGTCAGTCTTCTTAGCTCCCTTTCTCCCCAGACCTAGGAGCAGACTCCTTTTCTGGCCTGATTGGTACCAGTTTGGTTAGTATTTGAGCGTTGATCGTGCTGCGCTTCTGGAATATGTCCCGGTATAGTTCAGTGAAGGGGGAAGAGCGCTGGGCTTCATAAACTTAGAGCCAGGTTCAGGCCATTTGTTCACTGTATCATCTTGAGCAAGTTTACATCACTTCTCTCAGGTGTTCTGTCTTTAAGATGTTGCTAGGCTTTTGGACTGCTTTCAGTTCTTGGCCGTCACGGCTCTCTCAGGTGCAAGTCTCTGTGTGGATGTAACATTCCCTTCTCTCGGATAGATAACCTGCCAGACTGTTTTCCAAAGTGGCTGTACGGCTTCCCGCCCCGACCAGCGTGTGTGAGTCCAAGGTGCCCCACACCCTTGCCGGGCACTTTAGTCTCTTAAGTGTGTTTTTCTTTGCAGTTTGAATTTGCATTTCCTTAAAGTCTGATAATGCTCATCTTTTTATGTGCTCATTTAGCATCTGTATATCTTCTTTGGTGAAGTGTGCAAATCTTTTTTTATTGGGTTGTTTTCTTACTATGTTCTGAGAGTTCTTTGTATATTCCGAATTCAGGTCCTTTCTCAGGTACGGGATTTGCAAATATTATTTTCCATCCCTTGACTTTCTTTTCATTGTCCTAACAGTGTATTTTGAAGCGTGGAAGTTTGAATTTCGCTGTTCAATTTATTATTTTTTCACAGATGCCCTTTATCAGGTTGAGAAAAGTCCCCTGAGTTTCCTGAGACCTTTTTTGAAATTAGGAATGAATGTTGGATTTTGTC